CTCTCTGCTTCCACCATCTTACAATGTGAGACCCCTGAGTCACTGTCACCACCACCAGATGAACTTTGGACTACCCAGCCTCAGAAACTGTAAGCAACAAATTTCATTTTCTTTATAAATTACCTAGTTCCACATATTTTGTTATAACCAACAAAAACAGACTAATACAGTGCATACATTTTTTGAAAGGGCTGTAAAAAGGGTGGGAAAAAAACTTTGAAATCCATAAAGGATCATGAAATATTATTAAATAATAATCTAATAATCTAGAATCCAGGCAGCAAACTGAAAGAAAGACTTTGGAGTCCAGGCAAGAGTACACCAAGGTAGCCTGGAGAGCTGCCATCTTGCCTAAGAAGACCCCTGTTCTGGCCAGTGGCTAGGCCTGAATGTAGCTTACTGCACCATACCACCACCTGGACACAGATCCAGTCTTGCCAGATCTTCTGGTTTGTCAATAGAAGCTGGAAATCTGGCACTTTCTGGGAATGTAGCTGACAACGGCCAAATAAAACACATCTCTGGGCCCCAGTTGTCAGTCTCTGGCCTTGGAAGCGGAATCGAACCTCCCAAGAATGGTTTCAAGCCAATCCCGTAGCCACTATGACTTCCCCACAAGTGAGATTAGTGAGAATTAGTACCCAACAGATGCCTTGCTCAGAGAACCCTCCAGCTGCAGTGTTGGAAGAGACCCAAGGCATTTGTAATCTTAAAGGCTTGCAACCCCTTGAAGTTTTGTGTGTTTGTGCACATGTGCATTTTGGGAGAATGGGGATCTGATCTAAATTATTCATCAGATTCTCAAAGGAGTCCGTGTGTATGAAAGGTTAGAGGAAAGAGTTGACCCAGACTTGAGGTCCCACAGCAAATCAGTGGCAGAGCGGGGCTGATCCCCAGGTCCTCCAACTCCTGTCTTGGCTCCTGTGGCTGTGAGGTGGGCCAAATGAAAAGAAGATTCTTGCCCCCACCCCACTCCTGTTCACCCTGCCTTCAGCAAGTACTGCTGCCGGCCATGCCTGGTGCACTCAGTGGACATGTTACCTGTGTGGGAAGCCCGGCCCGGGGCTGGGAGGTCAGAAGAGCTCCCTGGGTTTGCTGAGGTAGCTGGAATAGATTTGGCGTTGGTAGCAAGCCTGGGGAGACAAGAGGGAGCACATGGGGTGAGGGGGAGGTGAGGGAAGTTCTGTGGAAGCACCAGGGAGGCCTTCAGGGTGGGGGCCTTACCTGACTGACTCTGCTGGGCCTGCGGCAGCAGGAACTGAGCAGGTGGCTGGAGGTGGTGGCCTGGCACAAGCACCAGCTGCTGGAGCTGGAGGAGCTGCTGTATGTCCTGGCAGGGAGGGGAATGGAAAGAAAAGCAGCCTGAGTCCTGGCTGGGTTCCTCCCTCTCTGCATCACCTGAGCCCTGACCGGCTGAAACCAGGAAGCTGCTCCATGGGGCAATCTGGCACTGGGCATCGAAGAATGGTCCCCTGGGTCTCTGAATAGCAGCCCTGAGCTAAGGGCACCCAGAGGCTTCTCTTGACCATGGGGTACCAGAGAGTCCCATCTGGGCAGTCCCAGGAGGGCTCACTCTTTACCTTTTCTCCCTCTTGATGAAAATATTAGCCTTTTCTTACATTCCCACAGAACAAATAGAATCATTTGAAAATGTAAATCACTGATTGGCCAGTTAGCTCAGTTGGTTACATCAAGGTCATGGGTTCAGATCCCCATACCAGCCATCCACAATAAAAAACAAAATAAAAATGTAAACCAGATCAAGTCTTTCCTCCTTTTAAAACACTCCCAAGGCAAATGATATCATGTCTGGAATTAGCTTTGAAATATTCCAGTAAACAGTGGGTGTGTAAATTGGTAAATCACTTCAGGAAACTCTTTGGCACTGTTATTGGTTGAATTGTGTCCCCTAAAAAAGATATACTGGAATCCTAACCCCCAGAATCTCACCGTGACCTTAATTGGAGATAGGTCTTTCTTTGCTGATGATCAAGTTGGAATGAGGTCATTAGGGTGGGCTCTAATCCAATATGAGTATTGTCATACAGAGACAGACTGGGATAGAGGGAAGATGATATGAAAAGTCACAGGGAAAAGATGATCATCTACAGGTCAAGGAGAGAGGCCTGGAACAGGTCCTTTCCTCACAGCCTTCAGAGGGGACCAGCCCTGTTGACACCTTGAATTTGGACTTCTAGCTCCAGAACTGTGAGGCTAAGTCAGGCACTATCTAGAGCTGAACACTCACCTGCATCATGAGCCAGCATTCCACTCCCGGGTATAGCCCACCATAAATGCACACGTGTGTTCACCACAGT